TTGTGAGATACAGCTGTCATTTTGCAACATGTGGCTGAAGAAAATGGTGGAATCAGCAGGGCTTTCTTCAGTCAGAACTTGCCAGAACTTCGTTTCAGCGCCTCTCAGCCGCTGCCATGATAAGAGTACAAGGAAGGCGTTCGTGGTGAGTTCTGGCAGCTCTTTTTCTAGAAAAATAGCACTGGGAATCACATTGCCAAATGCTTCTTTCCATACTTACCCAGTGACTGTGTACGTTTTTTAAAAACCTAAGTCTCTGCAAGCAGAAAGCCAGGATAGCAGGCCAGGCCTAACAAACAGGACTGGGGTATTCTAAGAGATGTTCAGATCCCATTGAATTCTATAGAAGGAAAGCAAATAGATTGAATCCCAAGACGTTTGAGTCCCAAGACGGTTTAGACGGAGCAAACCTTGACTCTCACCCTGACAGGGACATTGCTGGGGACCTGTAGTGTGTGCTGAAATTTTTCATAGGGGAACTTTGCACCTCTCTAAGCCGGGCAGGAGCCTTCTGAGCTTTGGGCAACAGGCTTTAATACTCTAATTCACCAGGAACATTTAGGAGACTAGCCTAGTCCCCCTAGTCCACCGACTGCACATCACTGCTGGGGTCAGTTATAACCTCCACACTCGTTGGATCTGAGAACTTACCTTTTTGCTCTTTCCTATATTATTCAATTCTAGGGACGTGGGTGGCACTGTGGTCTAAACCACTGAGCCTAGGACTTGCTGATCAGAATGTTGGTTGTTTGAATCCCTGTGATGGGGTGAGCACCCGTTGCTTGGTCCCAGCTCCTGCCCATCTAGCAGTTCGAAAGCACGTCAAGTGCAAGTAGATAAATAGGTAGGAAAGTAAATGGCGTTTCTGTGCGCTGCTCTGGTTCGCCAAAAGCGGCTTAGTCATGCTGGCCACATGACCCAGAAGCTGTCTGTGGACAAACACCGGCTCCCTCAGCCTATAGAGCGAGATGAGCGCCGCAACCCCAGAGTTGTCCACGACTGCAGATATGATAACAGATGAAAATTTAAAGTTATAGTATATTAAGTTAAAGGATCATGAGAAAACAAAGAGGGAAAGAAATTGCTGACTTAACTAATTAAACAGGAATACAAAAAAGGGAGGTATGAGGAGGTCAGGGAAACAAGGATATGAATGTAAGCTATGGAAAGATTGATCCATTTTTCTTTTTTTCTTTTTAAGTGTTTTTTATTCTTTTATTCTGTATTTTGTATTTTGTATTTTTCTTGTATTTTTACTTTTTGTTTCTGTGTAATTCTTTTTTTCTCTGAAATTTTAATAAATATCATTTAAAAAAAAAAAGAGTTGTCCACGACTGGACCTAACAGTCAGGGGTACCTTTACCTTAGAATCATAGAATCATAGAGTTGGAAGAGACCACAAGGGCCATCGAGTCCAACCCCCTGCCAAGCAGGAAACACCATCAGAGCACTCCTGACATATGGTTGTCAAGCCTCTGCTTAAAGACCTCCAAAGAAGGAGACTCCACCACACTCCTTGGCAGCAAATTCCACTGTCAAACAGCTCTTACTGTCAGGAAGTTCTTCCTAATGTTTAGGTGGAATCTTCTTTCTTGTAGTTTGGATCCATTGCTCCGTGTCCGCTTCTCTGGAGCAGCAGAAAACAACTTTTCTCCCTCCTCTATGTGACATCCTTTTATATATTTGAACATGGCTATCATATCACCCCTTAACCTCCTCTTCTCCAGGCTAAACATGCCCAGCTCCCTTAGCCGTTCCTCATAAGGCATCGTTTCCAGGCCTTTGACCATTTTGGTTGCCCTCCTCTGGACACGTTCCAGTTTGTCAGTGTCCTTCTTGAACTGTGGTGCCCAGAACTGGACACAGTACTCCAGGTGAGGTCTGACTAGAGCAGAATACAGTGGCACTATTACTTCCCTTGATCTAGATGCTATACTCCTATTGATGCAGCCCAGAATTGCATTGGCTTTTTTAGCTGCCACGTCACCTTGACCTTTATATTATGCAATATACCTGAAGGAGCATCTCCACCCCCATCGTTCAACCCAGACACTGAGGTCCAGCTCCAAGGGTCTTCTGGCGGGTCCATCACTGCGAGGAGTGAGGTAACAGGGAACCAGGCAGAGGGCCTTCTCAGTAGTGGCACCTATCCTATAGAACGCCCTCCCACCAGATGTCAAGGAAATAACTATCTGACGGCAGCCCTGTTGAAGGAAGTTTTTAATGACTGATGTTTTAATGTATTTTTAATCTTTTGTTGGAAGCCATGGAGAGTGGCTGGGGAAACCCAGCCAGATGGACAGGATATAAATAAATAAATAAATAAATAAATAAATAAATAAAATTATTAAATTGAATATAAGAACAGACCCCACAACAGAGCCCTGCCTTGCCTCCAAGGCACTAAATGTGTTTCCGTGTGCAGACTGTGTGGCATCTTCACTCCCTTCTAGGAACCTGAGGACAGGCAGGCTTTTCCTCCAGACGCACTGTTGTCATCACAGGCATTTATCTGCTCCAATTCTGCAAAGCTGGTAAATGTGCTGGTCCAGTGCAGACCACCAAGGCATTCAGGGCCAGCCCAAGACATTTTGGCACCGAGGCAGTGAGGCGAGACCAGCAGTGCCTCACTTTGGCCAAGAGGTCTCTGTAGAGGCAGCCTGGGATGGGCTACCCAAGAGACAGCCGATTCCTGCTCCCAGGAGTATGCCACAGATGCCCTGCCAGCATGGTGGCGGCAGCAGCAAGTCATGTGTTCCTTGGATCTGCTGCCCCTGTGGATCCTGCTGCCCAAGGTGGCTGTCTCACCTTGCCTCATGGGTGGGCCAGCGCTGAATGCACTGCAGCCTCCGAGTGCTTGCCCTGCCCCCTTGGCAGTTCCCCACAAGCAGCCAAAGAACTTTCTTGAGGCCTGCTGGGTTGCTCTACATATTTGGGTCAGTATGTTAAGGAGAGTAATAAATAAACTGAATAAATCCCCACATAAGTGACAGAAAATGAAATTAGCATCGCCTGTAAGCAGATCTATTATCTCTCAAGCTCCCTCAGAAAATGTCCTTTCCCCCTGGCATACAGTGCAATAGTCTTTGGAGCTTGGAATATCACATTCCACCTCCCTGGCAAGCACAGCCCAGAGGGCACAATGTTTGCTATTTGTGCATGAGGAGAAGGAAGTTTCAATGCATACCAAAACCTCAGAATTAATTAGTTTTTAGTACAGGCTGAACTTTTTATGACTAAATTCCATAGAAACATTAGCATAGCATAATCCCTTATTGACCCGAGCCCTAAAATTAAGTAATGGTTTTTATAAACCTTTTGGGAAATCATTTTTGGTATCTCTGCTCACACTTTTCCTTTTCCTTTTTTAAACTGAGTAACCATGGATGGCTCCACAGAGATTCCTGTATTAGCCATTCAAATTATATTTAAAGTATGAAAAGTGCTGAGCAATTTTGCTAGATGGCAAGAGCTTAATACTTAAAGGACGTGTTTATGGAGAGCTATTTGGAACAGGCTGTCTGTGCACTGGGAAGAGATCTATGGCTGTCGGGGGAAGGCATTGTGTGCCCACTGGCCTGCTCCTGTCCCACCCACTTCTGCAAATCATTGGCTTTTGTTTCACCCAAATCACTTTTCCCTCAGCAAGTCTTCAAAGACACTGCTGCCTCCAAGAGATCCTTGCAGGGGCATGCTGTGTAGTTGTTGTTTTTTTTGTAGGAGAACAGTTATAGGGGACTTTGCTCAGTGCAGGCAAAACACTAGAGCAGTGGTTTTTGACTTTTTTGGAGTCCAAGGCTCCCTTGACCAGCCACATTCTTGCTGCAGCTCCCCTGTGGGAGTCACTTTCACTGGGGACTCCTTACCCTAAGTGGGATCTTCCCCATTCTGCTTCCACCCCGCCCATTTTCTGTGCTATTTTTGGCATGTATGTAAGTGGGAGCACATTTGTCAATGGGAGCCTAAGCAATACCACTGCTGGGCTGATGCTCTCCACATGGCAGCTCCAGCCTGCCTTTCCCGAAATTAGTGTGCACATGGGTGAGAGTGTGGGGAGGGCAAAACAAGATTAAGATCAGAAGCAGAAATATTTTGTTATTACAGGGAAGGAAAGTGAGAAACAGGGCACACATGCAGACCTGCAACATTCTCCCTGTCCCCATAAAGATGGGTGACTGTTAAGGAGGAGGGGGTTGCCTGGGGGGAGAGGTGGAGAAGAAGAGTGGGGAGGGGTAGAAGGAGAAAGAAACACTAAAGATACTCCTCACTTTCAAGGTTATTTTTGAATCCCTCCTTATAGAGAACACACACACCCTCAAGCTACTTTGCTGTTTTCTTGCATTTCTCAAGCCCTCTGTGTAAAACCGTTCCTTTGTTCATTCCCTCTTCTCCCCATCCCCCACACGCGTCGGTGTCAGCGACTGAGCAAAGCCGGTTGCTGCATGGTGTAAGCAGAGTGTGCTGGGCAGGCCTCTCCACGGCCCTACGCCAATCCCAGGCATGCAGGAGGGCAGAGCCGGCTGGCCGCCTCAGTGCCTTGTTGGCTCACTTGCCCCCCGAACTCGCAGCACAGAGCCGCCCGCAGCAGAAGAGCCCACCACAGCGCTCCAACCAGCCGGCAGGCTCTTCCCCGGACTCCAACTCTCGGGCCCCGGATTCTTGGCCTGGCAGACTTTAGGCTAAAAGAGTGCTGGTTGTTTCAGTGTAGCAAGGGAGATGTCCTGTTCAGATGGGAGCTGTGCATGAAGAGAGGAGGTGGATATATATCTTGATATGCATTTGCATTGTGATGCACAGCCAAGTGGAAACCCTCCAATACTGCAAACCCAGCCACATGCCATGGGGTGGCTGGCGATGCACGATGAACTCCCATCCATCTTGAAATACAGGTGCAAATGTATCTCCCCACCTGCTATCTCTGGCCATTAGTGGCTCATAACAACATTCGTGCTTGTTGCAGCTCAGTGTTCAAGCCAGCACTTTGATGAAAGCAAAAGAGAGAGTGTCAAAAGAAAATAGTTTATTTCATAATTCATCTTAAATAACACAAGGTCAACTTGTGAGATTTTACATATGCTAAATGTTATACATTGTAGTCTTATTCATTTATGACACTATAACAGGAGGACGTTCTTTCTTGCGTGGCGACCTTCACACTGATGCCCAGTTAGGAGGAACTGTCTTTGTTGAGCTGTGCTTCCACCCTGCCAGGCCACATGGGTGGGAGGCTTTTCCTGTGGCAGCAGCAACTACAGGGTCTATGTGTGAAAGTTACTGCTTTCCCTGGGGAAAACCACTGTTTACTGCTGAATCAGAACCATCTGTAGAAAACCCAATGGATGGTTGTTCCAGTTCAGTGGTAATCAGTGGGTTTTCCTGGGGAAAGCAGTGGGATAAAAGACAGACCTCTTGGCCCCATGCCTAGGAATCATGGGACAAATGCCCAGGGGATGAGCTGCTCCATGGAATTGAACATGGAAATGGAGGAGTGATGTCAGCATGCTATGAAAATGGAATGTGTGCTGTGCTGGCTCGCCAGATGCAGCTTGTCACGCTGGCCACGTGACCCGGAAGTGTCTGCGGACAGCGCTGGCTCCCAGCCTATAGAGTGAGATGAGCGCACAACCCTAGAGTCTGGCAAGACTGGCCCGAATGGGCAGGGGTACCTTTACCTTTACCTTTAGAACTGTGCTCAGTGATAACATATCATGGAAATTCATGAAAAAGCTGGTGTAGAAAATAGGGCTCGGTGAACAATTTTACAAAGGGATTAATGCCATCTATTCCGAACAAAGAGCCAAAATAATTATCAATGGAAACATCACAGAAGAATGTTTAATAAGTAAAGGTACCCGGCAAGGATGTCCATTGTCTCCACTGATCTTCATTTTAGTGTTGGAAGTTCTGAATAATCTAATACGAGAAGATCAAGGCATCAAAGGAATAACACTAGGAGACAAGGCATACAAGGCATACAAACTTAAAGCATTCGCTGATGACCTACTCAGCATGACCAAAAATCCAAAAGAAAGCTTGATAAGAGCATTCAAGTAAATTAAAATTTTTGGAGAAGCAGCAGGCTTTAAATTGAATCCCTCTAAGATGAAATTGTTGGTAAAAAATGTAACAGTGCAAGAAATGGAAGATTTGGAAAAAACATCTGGCCTAGAGATTAGTAATAAAGTAAAATACCTAGGTATTTGGATTACCACCCAAAATATAAATTTGTTTCAAGATAACCATACGAAAGTCTGGAATGAAACAAAAAGAAACATCGAGATATGGAACAGGGTAAACCTCATTTTTAGGAAACATTTCCATCATCAAAATGACCATGCTTCCTAAATTACTTTTTCTGTTTCAAACAATCCCGATACTAGGTGGGAGAGGCTGCCTCAAAACCTGGCAAAAAGACATCTCGAAATTGATATGGCAGGGGAGGAGACCTAGAATTAAACATCAAATCCTAATTGACATTAAAGAAAGAGGAGGCTTTTCCCAACCTGACCTAAAATGAGGTCGCCTGCCTCACCTGGCTAAAAGAGTGGTGCACGTTTTAGGACCCAGGCTTGTTAGATTTAGAGGGGTACGACAACAGTGGCACATGTGGCATGTGTACCTGTGGTACAGGAAAGTTAAAATTCACAAGAACTTTTTGAATCACATTGTCAGAAAATCCCTATACACAGTCTGGGAGAAATATAAAGATCTTTTAGAGCCCAAAACACCTTGGTAGATATCACCAATTGAAGCAGCTGCAGTAAAGAGGAAAAATACGTGTGGACATTGGCCAATATATAAAACTTTATTAAGGGAAGAAATCAATGATCTAAAGCTGAAAAGCTTTGAAGATATAAGAGAGCAAATAGCAGACTGGTTTCATTATTATCAATTGTTTGAAACATTTAAAACAGATGAAAAAAGCAGGTTTGCACCAGAAATATCCAGATTGGAAGCGGATTTGGTTAATTCAAAAATAAAAACTCTTTCAAAGGTGTACCACCTCCTCCTTGACTGGGAAGTCAAGGAGGAGGAGGTGAGAGCTGTCATGATTAAATGGGCCCAGGATTTTGGGTATAACATAGAAATGAAAGAATGGGAAAATTTATGGAAAGTTAATTGGAAATTCACAACATGTTATAAAGGTAAAGGTAAAGGGACCCCTAACCATTAGGTCTAGTCATGGCCGACTCTGGGGTTGCGGCGCTCATCTCGCTTTATTGGCCAAGGCCAGCGTGTTATACTTTCAGGGAAAACTTCTAAAAAATGCAATATTGTTGGTACTTGACGCCATGGAAGCTTTCCAAAATGTAAAAAAATGTATCTAGTACTTGTTGGAGATGCGGTGTAGAAACTGGCACTATGTTCCATATGTGGTGGCTATGTTAAAAAAATTAAGATCTTCTGGGACATCATCTATGTAGAACTTAAAAAAATGTTTAGGGTTTCATTTTTTAAAAAAAACAGAAGCTTTTCAACTCGGAATAACAGGGCCAGACATTCCTAGGAATGTAAAATAAGTTTTTTTATACGCTACAGTCGCAGTGAGAATCTTAATAGTGACTAATTGGAAAAGGGATAAAATCCCTTCCAGGTCAGAATGGTTACAAAAACTAGCCGAATATGGAGAGTTAGCCCAATTGTCAAAAAAAATGAAAGATAAGTCAAAACAAGTATTTATTGCAAAGTGGGAGGTTTTCGAAACACATCTTAAGAAGAATTGTTGCAGTATGAACTAGGTCGCTGCCTTTGAATAACTTCTGCAATTGTACGAAATAAGAAACAAGATCATAAGAGAATAATACTTTATTATAAAATGAAGAGACAGGTTTATGCAATAAGTTTGTAAATATTAAATGAAGTATGGAGAAGACGGGAAGTTAGATGTACTTGAAGAAGATCTACTGTCAGAATATATGGTTTTATTCTTTTGTTTATTTTGTATTTGGTGTAACAATTGGCATAGATGTATGGTTTTTCTTTTTGATTTTTGGTGGTGTTTATAATAAAGCATAATAAAAAGAAAGAAAGAAAAAAAATGGAATAGGCTTTTAAATAAATACTAGAACTGTACTCGGTGTCGTTCTCATATCTACACTACACTTTCAAATGGCATAAATACATGATACAAAAGTAATCATTGACAAAACTATTTTCTCCATAATTTTTGCACTCTATTAACTGATCTACAGTGCTCTTTGAAAACAGAAAAAGTGCATATTTTCAGAGAAACAGTATTAAAAGTATCATATATTAAGTATCAAAGTGTTGAAGAATACAGATTTATAAGTTAATAATGCAGACAAATAAAATATATAAAAAATTTAAAATAAATAATCCAGCACTGTTTATGAATCATGAAATATGATCAGGCTACAAAAGTAGTCCTGTTACTGTTATTTCTACATTTGAAGGTGTGAAGGTCCAGCATCTCCACTGTCCAATATTCTTTAAGATTACAAGATGAGACAATATTGGGGACTTCCCCTGCAACACTAGGTCACAGTCCTATATGCACTGACAGGCAGTGCATCCTGGGATCATGGGGGCTTTGCATCTGAGAAATCATGCCTAGGACTAGGCTGTGTGACCAGTCTGTGCTGAAAGACCTGCTGCCTGAGGGTTTCCTTGACAGTGGAAAAATTGGAGTCTACTTGCATAAACTTTGTTGTATATTTGCTCTTATTCTTGTGAGTCAAAATACTGTTCACATTCAGGGTTGCCGGTCACTTCGATGGATCCAGGAATTCTGCTCCCATCTTTTGGATAGACACACCAGCATTTTGCAGGACTTCGATCAAGTGAAGTTTCACACTAGTTGGGGTAAATGACTAAGTTTATTTCAAAGTAATTGAAATGGAGTAGATGCTTCATGAGATGAGGTTATTTGAGGGAGTCATTCAATTTTGAAACACATCGGAGGGATGCTGGCTACTCAATGTGGGTAGAAATAAAATTAGTAATTCAAGCAAACAGCAATTGTCACTCAGCCATATGTTTGCATTGCTCAATCAATTATATATGCATAATGTTGGATATGGAGTGTCTCTATTGAGGCAATATTACTAAAATGTGTGGAGACTGGGGACCTACATTTCAGATTGTTCAGACAATGTAATGGAATGATTTGCTGTTGTGGGAGCAAGGCCTCCCACTCTCTGCACCCAATATCCATGCCTACGGAAGAACGTTTGTACATGGACTGATCCTCCAAATGTGCAGAAGGCATGAACTGCACAGCATACAGATCACCCCCATAGTAGCTGCGTCTGTAGGTCCCATACATATCTTTCACATGCATATCAATGTTGTGATGGAGTGGGATCTTCACACTTGTACTCAAAATGAGGAGTCTGCATAGAGCTAATTCCAAAGCACTTTCTCCCCCTCTTCCTTTTTTATTTAAGCCTGTACAACTGAAAACCATTTTCTACCATAGGAAGAATTTGGTCAAGTGGCAGGATTTAAATTGAACAAGTCAAAAACCAAGGTTTTAGAGAAGAATTTAACACCGTTTGAAAGAGAGAGGTTTCAGAATGAGGCAGGTTTAACAGTGGTTAAGAAAGTTAAATACCTGGGGATTAACATGACAGCAAAAAATGGGAATTTATTTAAAGATAATTATGAAAAATGTTGGTCTGAAGTGAAAAAAGACTTAGAAATTTGGTCAAATTTGAAGCTTTCCCTGCTAGGCCGTATTGCTGCGATAAAAATGAATGTATTGCCTAGAATGTTGTTTTTGTTTCAAATTTTGCAGATTGTTGACAAAATGGATTGTTTCAAGAGGTGGCAGAAAGATATTTCTAAATTTGTCTGGCAGGCCAAGAAGCCCAGAATAAAATTTAAAATTCTAACGGATGCAAAGGAAAGAGGCGGATTTGCCCTGCCAGACCTCAAACTTTACTATGAATCAGCAGCCTTTTGCTGGTTGAAAGAATGGCTACTTCTTGAAAACACTGACATTTTGGACTTGGAAGGTTTTAACAATGTATTTGGATGGCATGCATATTTGTGGTATGATAAGGTCAAAGCACATAAAGCATTTAGAAACCACATTGTCAGGAAAGCGCTATTCAATGTTTGGATAAGATATAAGGACTTGTTAGAAAACAAAACCCCAAGGTGGCTGTCACCAATGGAAGCGAAAGCCTTGAGAAAGGTCAATATGGAGGTCAAATGGCCGAAATATTGGGAAATTTTGGAACAAGACGGAGATAGACTGAAATTGCAGAATTTTGAAAAATTAAAAAACAAAGTGCGAGACTGGCTTCATTATTTTCAGATAATGGAGGCATTTAAATTGGACAAGAAAATTGGCTTCCAGGTGGAAAGATCAAAACTAGAAACAGAACTGTTAGAACCCAAAACTAAGAATTTGTCAAGAATGTATAACTTGCTGCTGAAATGGAATACTCAGGATGAAACGGTAAAATCGGCTATGATTAAATGGGCACAGGACGTTGGGCATAACATTATGTTTGCTGACTGGGAACAGTTGTGGACCACAGGTATGAAATTTACGGCATGTAATGCCTTAAGAGAGAATATTATGAAAATGATATACAGGTGGTACATAACCCCAGTCAAGCTTGCAAAAATCTATCATTTGCCCGATAATAAATGTTGGAAATGTAAAGAAATTGAAGGTACATTTTTCACCTTTGGTGGACGTGCCCAAAGATTAAGGTTTTCTGGGAATGATATATAATGAATTAAAAAGGTATTTAAATATACCTTCCCTAAGAAACCAGAGGCCTTTCTCCTGGGCATAGTGGGCCAAATGGTGTTAAAAAAGGATAGAACTTTCTTTATGTATGCAACAACAGCAGCAAGAATACTCATCGCAAAGTATTGGAAGACACAAGAACTTCCCACGCTGGAGGAATGGCAGATGAAACTGGTGGACTATATGGAAGTGGCGGAAATGACTGGTAGAATCCGTGACCAGGGAGAAGAGTTGGTGGAGGAAGATTGGAAGAAATTCAAAGATTATCTTCAGAAACATTGCAAAATTAAAGAATGTTAGAGTGATGTTGGATCGGAAATAAGTGGTTTCCAGCTGTACAGGTTAAAGTTATTGATAGACTAAGATTAAAGATTAGGATTAAAGATGTTTAAGGAAATGGAAATTTGGTACTTAAGAGGTAAAATTTTAATGTTATATTACATTAAGATTAAAGATTAGGATCAAAGAAGTTTAAGTGTTATATATTATATTAAAATTAAAGATTGGGATTAAAAAAGTGGAAAAGAAATTGCTGGACAAACAATTTGGATTAGAATACAAAAGAGGGAGGTATGAGGAAGTCCAGAAAATAAGTAAATTCAAAAACAGAAATGGAAAAGTCATATTGTTTTTAATTGTTAGGTTTTTTTGTTGCTGTTGTTTCTTGCTTTTCGTGTTTTTTTATTTCTTTTTGGGATTTGTATTGTGTATTTGTGTATTTTTTTTAATGTTTTTTCTGTTCAATTCTTGATTGAAACCTTAATAAAAAATTATTAAAAAAAAAAAAAGGAAGTTGCTGTGCAACTGTCTTGTTGCAGACAGAGGCCTTCTTCCAAAGAAAGCATTTATTTCAGCAACATGGGAATAATTGACTCTAGCTATTGACTCCAGGGATGTGGAAGAAATTTGTTTCATGTTTGGATGCAAATGTACCTAATTTGCACTTCTCAAAACAACATATGAACAGAAACATAGCTATCCTTCAAAACTGGCCTTTCTCCATATTTTGTGATGCTGTTCTCCAACCGCAACATGGTAACAAAAATGTGTGCATGAGATAAAAGTGTGCATGAAAATATCAACATGTATGTCTCAGGAGATAGACACAATAAAATATTGCTGGATTCTCATGAGGACCCTAAAATTATTTAATAAACCACAAACTGATGCAAACTGAATTAAAGAAAGAAAAAATGTGTATCTGAGAGAAACCAGCAGTTATCCATCCCTACCCCCAAAACAAGATTACCTGCTTGCTGTGGTAAAATCCATTCCGATTACAGTTGGGCAAATAGAATCTGTATATCTCTCCTCCAATTCTTTGTTGATCTTTGGTTAACTTCTCCAGCGCCTTGTAGAGTTCTTTTTTACATGGTGCCTGAAAGAATATTGTAAATATTGAAGTGTTAAATAATAACATATAAGAACTGATATATAAACAACTTTTTATAATGAAATCTGGAGCAAACTACTTATTAATGCATTTTAAAGTCTGTAGTCCTTGAACCCAAAGGGCCTTACTCGTGGCTGGATAGCACAAAATCACAGAGTTAGAAGGGACCCTGAGGATTGTCTAGTCCAACCCCCTGCAATGCAGGAATAGGCAGCTGTCCCATGCGGGGATTGAACCCGAAACCTTGGCATTATATAACCGGACGATGTTTATATGACTCTTGCCATCTAACAACACAAGTTGTTGTTTCAGACAAATAAGAGAATCTACTGCATCCAAGGGTCATTGTCAAAGGTATTCATAATACTCATGCTCTTAAGTCTGTGGCAGCTCAGCCAGCAGGAGACTTTTAATCAAGGGCCAATGGGTTTGAGCCCCCATTGGTGAAAGATGCCTACGTTCCAGGGGGTTGGCCTCAATGACCCTCATGGTCTCTTCTAGCTCTATGATTCTATGACAAACCACATGGACTGAGCTCCATCACGCCATGCTGTTCCGCTTAAGCAGCTCACTTTCTGTTCTTTGGTGCTCTCAAGTGGCACTTCTTTGTAGGTACAGGACACTCAGCAAACCCTCCCATCCTAATTCATAACATTGCTGCTATGACTGCTTCTCTGCTTATTACTTTATTTATTAGTAAATAAATACAGTAGTAAATATAGTTCCTTACAGTTTTCAGAGTTTTGATTACATTCCTTTCACAACAGCTTTGTAAGAGTATTATAATCCTACAACAAGTAACTTTGTAATTGAGATACCAAATGCAAATGTTTATTGGCATTACAGTGCTATGTGAGTATATTGTTATATGTGAGCATTGAACATACGATAAATATGGAACATGGTGAAAGATCAGCTGGCTGGGCCTAGTGTCTGGGAGTATTTTCCAGCTGTAAACTGCTGAAATCCAGTATCCTAACTTCAGAGTAGGCTAGAACCTACATTTCTTGTCCTTGTTTTCCTCTGTGGGGTGTAATGTACATGATGGCTCTGATGCTTCTAATGACTTGGATGAAGGTATTGAGGGGATGCTCATCTAATTTGCAGAAGACACCAAATGGAAGGGGTTGCATGTAACTGGGAACTGCTAAATATGTGATATGATGAAATCCAGATTGGAGGGTGTCGAGGAAGTCTTTTAGCAATGTGAATACACCAGGGAACAAGAAGAAAAAATTCTTATTTTATTTTGTGTGTTTTTATTGTTCTTAAGTTTTTATGTTGTGTCAAATGTAATGTTTTCTATTGTGTTTTTGTCTGTGTGTTATAAGAGAAAACCATTTTTTTTTTTGAAAAAACAAAACAAATGGGAGGGGTTGCTAATGCCACAAAATACAGAATCGGGATACAAGATTACCTTAACAGATTTGAGAAAGGGGCAAAAACTAACAGAATAAAATTCAATAGGGACAAGTGTCAGGTTCTGCACTTAGGCAGGAAGAACCAGATGCACAAATATAGGATGGGGGATACCTGGTTTACTAGCAGTACATGTGAAAAGGATCTAGCTTAACATGAGTCCACAATGTGATGCAGCAGCTAAAAAAAGCTAATGCTATTCTAGGCTGCATCAACAGAAGTATAGTGTCCCAATCAAGGGAAGCCATAGTACAGTAGTACCTCGGATTACATACGCTTCAGGTTACAGACTCCACTAACCCAGAAATAGTGCTTCAGGTTAAGAACTTTGCTTCAGGATGAGAACAGAAATCATGCTCCAGCGGCACGGCAGCAGCGGGAGGCCCCATTAGCTAAAGTGGTGCTTCAGGTTAAGAACAGTTTCAGGTTAAGAACGGACCTCCGGAACGAATTAAGTACTTAACCTGAGGTACCACTGTATCACTCTATTCTGCCTTGGTCAGACCACATAAGTACTGTGTCCAGTTCTGTGCACCACAATTTAAGAAGGAAATTGACAAGCTGGAATGCGTGCAGAAGAGGGAACCAAGATGATCAAGGGTTTGTAATCCAAGCCTTATGAGGAATGGTGGAGAGAGCTGGGTATGTTTAGCCTGGAAAAGAGGAAACTGAGAAGAGACATGATTTGTTGTTGTTGTTGTTTAGTCGTTTAGTCGTGTCCGACTCTTTGTGACCCCATGGACCAGAGCACGCCAGGCACTCCTGTCTTCCACTGCCTCCCGCAGTTTGGTCAAACTCATGCTGGTAGCTTCGAGAACACTATCCAACCATCTCATCCTCTGTTGTCCCCTTCTCCTTGTGCCCTCCATCTTTCCCAACATCAAGGTCTTTTCCAGAGAGTCTTCTCTTCTCATGAGGTGGCCAAAGTATTGGAGCCTCAGCTTCACGATCTGTCCTTCCAGTGAGCACTCAAGGCTGATTTCCTTAAGAATGGATAGGTTTGATCTTCTTGCAGTCCATGGTCAAGAGTCTCCTCCAGCACCATGATTCAAAAGCATCAATTCTTTGGTGATCAGCCTTCTTTATGGTCCAGCTCTCACTTCCATACATCACTACTGGGAAAACCATAGCTTTAACTATACGGACCTTTGTTGGCAAGGTGATGTCTCTACTTTTTAAGATGCTGTCTAGGTTTGTCGTTGCTTTTCTCCCAAGAAGCAGGTGTCTTTTAATTTCATGGCTGCTGTCACCATCTGCAGTGATCATGGAGCCCAAGAAAGTAAAATCTCTCACTGCCTCCATTTCTTCCCCGATAGCCATCTTCAAATATCTCAAGGGCTGTCACATGGAAGAGGGAGCAAGCTTGTTTTCTCCTGCTCCAGAGAGCAGGACCCGAACCCATGGCTTCATTACAAGGAAAGGAGATTCTGGAAGAACTCTCAGCAGTGCAACGGATTCTCTCCTTCCCTGCAGATAGGAGTTGCCGCTACCACCCCAGTTGCCCCCTGAGTTGCCCCTCCATCACTGCCACTGCCTATTTCCTCTCCGGCCTCCTTGTGATCCCCTGCTGCTTCCGCATGCTGTGGTTTCCCCAGGCTGCCTCTCGTCGCCTCAGGTGGTGGGGGGGGGGAGGGAAGAGGAGTTTTCTGATTTGCCCTAAGTGGCAAAATGTCTTGAACTGGCCCTACCCTAGACACGTATCCCAGCACTGTTTTTCCAACTAGTTCGTGTGTGGCATTTTAGCCTCGTGGCTATGAAATGGCAACTTGCCTAAATCCATGTGGCGAGTTTGGTGAGTGGGTGGGAATATGAACTGGAGTTCCCCATGGCCAGGCCCAGAACACTTGCTATTTATACCACATTAGAATCATATAATTTGTCATGGCTTAAGGAATTAATTTCATGGCATTCTAAATTATGTTTCTACTGATGGCCTGCTTTGCTTCAATTTAGTGTGCAGATACAACAGAAAATGGATGTTAGAGAACTCACTTGTTTCTTTAACTTCTTAAGTTCATTCAGTCTCCTGGCTTTCACACTTTCGTGGGCAGCGACCGAATTCCAAGGGACAGGCTTATCTTGGCCAGCAGCAAACGTCAGCTGGGTGTTGTCCTGCTGATCAGCTGTCATGTCACGGTCTTCATGGGGCATGTCTTCTGCTTCCAGGGACTCTAGCAGGGGAGAAGCACAAATGGAAACATGACTCCACACAAGCTCCGCGGAAATGAATGGCAGCTCTAGAAGAGCAGAGCTACGACATCCTGGCTGGAACCTCCATCCCTCAAGGAAAAACAGACATTTATATGGAGTCTTCTGTGTGTGCCATGGTTTATATGAAAACTTGAAAACACCGTATTGTCTATAATAATTCAACTTCCCGAGAATCTTGGATCTCTTAAATAAAGTAAAAGAAAATATCTAGCCCATATAGCTGTGAAATCAGTGTAGGGCAGTGCCTAGGGAGAGTGCAGATGAGTTGCTATGATTTTCAAAGGCCAGAAGACGCAGCTTTCCAATAGTAACCTATGTAACACCTTTTCCTTCTTCGTGACTAACAGAAGCTGTATAAATTATGGGATTTTTTTTAATAGTGGTAGAATCATGCAAAACAAGAATAATGCCAATTAAGATGAATCTCATCTTAGAATGAATCTATCTGGCAGTGTTGAACAAAGACTGGAGAGACCCAAGTTCAAATCTCTGCTCCACAAATGAAGCTCCCTGGACAACTTTGAACCCATCTCTCTTTCTCAGCCCATGATTCCTCACAAGGCTGTAAGGATAAAAAGGAGCAAGGGGTGAGAACTGTTTGTGTCATCTGCATTTCTTAGAGGAAGGAGGAATAAAACTATCACAAGTACACGTAAAAGTAATTTTTGTTTATTTCCGGATTCAGCTTTTCTTATCACAAATGTGAGTTAGATAGATACAGAATTTTGATGATTCTAGTGCAGAGTATAAAGATCCAGAAGCCAGCACTGGTTATAAGAGCCAGTGTGGTGTAGTGGTTAAGAGCAATAGACTCGTAATCTGGGGAACCGGGTTCGCGTCTCCGCTCCTCCACCTGCAGCTGCTGGGTGACCTTGGGCCAGTCACACTTCTTTGAAGTCTCTCAGCCCCACTCACCTCACAGAGTGTTTGTTGTGGGGGAGGAAGGGAAAGGAGAATGTTAGCCACTTTGAGATTCCTTAAAGGGAGTGAAAGGCGGGATATCAAATCCAAACTCTTCTTCTGCTGTAAACAACAGCCCTTTGCTTCTTTCTGTTAATGGTGTGACATTGCTCATAGGTGTGCAGAGGAGACAGCAAGCATTCAGCTGGTCAGAAAGACAAAATGCAGGACTACCAATATTGCATTTAGAGCAAGCTCTAGTGTGGCTTTAATGTGTGTTGAAGCATGAAAACAGGATGTCTTTGAACATTGCTCCTAGAACAATTACTTCCATCATGCTAGAGTGTTACTATTAAAGACCATGAGCAAATGAACCATTATGGCTTTTGGTTACAATGTACATTGAAAAAATATTGCCTGACTATGGCAAATACACGTTTGCAAACATTTGCATCATGCAAGTTGCTTCCTTTTGAAAATGGCAACCCCAGGTTTGCCCATGTGCAATGTGGGAAGAGCACTTGAAGCAATTTTCAAATAAAAAGTACTAATTGAATGTGCAAAAAAGTTTGTAGGTGAGCAAAAAGGAGGCAACAGAAGGGGTAACAAATAGAAGCCTTGTGAGGGTGGGGTGTAGAGAGATTTATAAATAAGGGACTGTGGCAGTGAAATCTAAGACTTTGATGGAAACCTCTTGGATCTAACTATGTGGCCGGGGGGTGGGGGAGAGGCAGCAGGCAAAAGTCTTTTTTCATTACACTTCAAATCATAACACTTTGGCTAGTGTCAAAGTGTCAGTTTCCATTTAAGCAATCCTTATGTCCAAATTGAGCCATGGGAATTACCGGTACTAGGGACTCTTGAACTACAAGCAAAATGGGGGGCAGGAGAGACATGTTCAGGAATTCACAAGTATTTTGTAAATCCTTGGCTGAATCCTAATGGAAAGCAAAATTCTATCCATTCATGATCAAGCCACAGTTCTACAAAGTTTCCTATTGTTTGATTAATGTAATTTTCAACAGCTGAAATAAGCTAAACAGAAACAGAAGCTAAACTGGGCACAGGAGAGTTTAAAGGCAGATGGGAGTCTGTGGTTGCTCCCAGGTGATCACAACATGCTTTGCTCCTAGCTGTAGTGACAGGTCTAGTCCTGTGAAAGATAATAAATATTTTCACTGACATCTGAAACGGTATTCCAGAGCTGATTAATTTAAAGCATATCCCAGTGATGGGGACTGTGGTGCAGGGATTCTATTTTCAACAGCATTTATTGAATCTATTTTCAATAGATTCCTTCCTCTCCTTCTTTGGAGGTTTTTAAGCAGATGTCGGGTGGCCATCTGTCCTGGATGCTTTAGCTGAGATTCCTGCATTGCAGGGGGCTGGACTAGATGACCCTCGGGTCCCTTCCAACTCTAAGATTCTATGATTCTATGATTTCTATTAAAACTACCTGTAACCCCTATGCCTTTAACAACAGGCTGAGAAGTAGAAATTAAATGGTGTGGATGTGAATGAGAGAGAATTATTGCTTGTCAGGTGTCTGCAAAAACACAGGAGCAGAAATAGGCACAGGAGCAGGACAGAAAAGAGGCAACAAATATTTTTCTTCCTTCCTTTTCTTCCACAACACACACACATTAACATCATCAACATGGCTGCCACAGGTGAAGGGGGGGGCAGGCCCCTTGGGGGGTTTCTTCCTCTGACTGAGAGTTTAGCAACATACCCCTGGCTTTGCACTCAGACCCCAACTTTCTCCATAAGTAAAACGTCCCTTAGTGAAGGTGTGCCTTCAGGAGTCACACTGTGGATCTGACTCCTATGGGACAGATCTCCAAGGTCTCAGGCAGAGCTCAGCTCCACCTTTGCTGCCTCGGTGCTCAGGATCAAACCTGGAATGTTCAGTGGACGAAGCCTTTGCCCTGGCCTGGGCCCAGCCTGGGCTTCTGCAGCTCAGCTTTCTGACACGCAGGAACATTTCCCACATTTTTTTGGCCACTGGCTGCTTGCTGTGGAGAAAATCTAATGCCAAAGCCACATACTCTTGGCATTCTGCCACAGCCAGTGTGGTGTAATGGTTAGAGTGTCAGGCTAGGACCTGGGAGAGCAGAGTTCAAATCCCCACTCAGCCATGAAGCTCCCTGGGTGACCTTGGACCAATCACTGCCTAACCTACCTCACAAAGCTGTTGTGAGAATGAAATGGGGAGGAGGAGAACCTTGAGCTCCTTGGAAGAATAAGGCAGCATATAAATGTAATAAAATAAGTAAGTTAACCATGCGCTAATTGCTAGACATGCAAAGCAGTATGCAAAACAGAAAGGCACATTATTTACCTGCAGCCTCTGCCGTGTCAGAGGCGGGAAGGCAGGTGCCCTGCCCATGGAGGAGGGCGTGCAGGGGCCGGGGTTCCTCTGGGGGCACAGAGCACCTGAGCCCCCGGCCACAGCGGGCTAGGTATACTCCACAGGGCTCCCCCAGCTGGAGGGCACAGGTATGGCAGCAGCCACAGCCTGGCGGATGAGCAGTTTCAGGGCAGCTGGCAGGCACCGGCGGGCACAGCACAAGCTCCTCTTCAGTGCATGGGGCACAGTGCATGGGTTGGAGAGCAGCCCCGAGGATGAGGCCAGGGCAGAGGAGCAGGAGCAGCAGCTCACTGCGAAGGCCTGTGGAACACATGGCGAAGGAGACCAGTCAGCAAAGCAGCTGAGTCTGGAGAGGAGCACCCGTTCGCTTCCTCACGTTCAGCTAGCCCTGTGTTCCAACCACAGGGCATTTATACAGTTCCTTGTCAGTCTGTTAATCTTTAACCCCAAGTTAACTATTGTCTGAGCAGGAGGGACAGAAAAGCATCATTTCATTGGTAGTTTGTGCCCCTCCCACTCTATTTTTTTAAATGATGAAATAATGCATCACTATTCTACTCATTCTTAGCCTTTTCAGGATGGTTCTAAATATGTCTACAGAAAAGGAACTCTTTTTTTTCCTCTTTATCAGAAGTCCTGCTACTTTGGACAATTCAATTACTGGTATTTAAATTATTGTTGAGAAAGACGGAGGAGAGACGAACGCCTTGAAACCTCCGTAGCTGACTTCATACTTCCACAGCAACAGATTCAAAGGCCTCTTGTTTAATTTTTGTCATGTGGCTGGAGGTTATTAGGACAATGACATACCCAGAGAGGCCCCCAGAGGGTAATCAAAGCCCCTGAGATCCGGTAACTCCTGAACGCAGCAGCACGTAGGAGCTAATGTCAACAGTGTGTTTGCAAAGGATTATTTGGGACGGTTTCCTGTGGATACACTTGTGCTTTAGCAGAGCTCAGATGTGAGTCCCTGGCATCAGTGGGTAAGAGGCTGGGCTACGTGCTTATCAAAGGCTCCATCGCACAGCTGCTCCCTTACGGGCTGCTTTAAGAATAACGCAGACAGTCCTTGCATATAGTTTAGCATAAACCAAGGGTGTATCTTATGCATGCTTAAGTGGGAGTAAATCCCATGGAAGCAAGTGGGATTTCCTTCCATGGAAACATGAATCTGACCAGGCTGGAATCCATCTCTGTAGGATTTCTGTAAAAGGGAGGGAAGGAGGTCAAGGGGCTGCAAGACACCTGAGGGCATTGTGCAAATAATAAAACAATCCAAAACCTATTCAAAGCATTAAAACAGCAAAAAACCCAGATAGCATTAACTATGAATAACATTATGAAACATTTTTAAAAAGACACCTGGCTGCATTAACAGCTGTTAGCATATAGTTTGCCTCTTTGCGGCTGCTTTTATTCCCACTTAATCCCCATCATACTCCGCATGATGCTATCCTCAAACACCACCATTCTCAGTGCTTTCCCCCTTTAAATTCGGGTCTGCCTGCTACAGTGAAGAGCCAATAAGTTTGAGGAACTTAGGTTCCAAACCATCCCACTTGGGGGCACAGACCATTTGCTTCAGGGTTTAGGGCTGTGTGGATCAATGGTCACTTTCGACTGTTCCCCTTTCTTCAAGGCTTTCACATCTTTTCTGGCTGCACTCTTAACTATTTCTGGTGGAGGAATTTTCAATTGCACACTTTTTGTGTGGGCAGGGCTTCCACCCCCACCCCCCTTTTAAGGGGCATGAGCAGCTATCTGTCCTACAGGTACATAATATAATCCAGAAACCAGAAGGCAGGGACAAACACCACAAGGAAAGTCTACTGGTATGTCCAGGAAAGGCTGAAGTCGCCCCCTAGATACAGATTCAGAAACATGCAGGTGTGAACTACTCCATCCTAATCTGAATGAGGAAAAAGTGAACAGTTAAATAATGCTCAAATGTGCACAAGCTCCCAAGAAAACATTGCAAGAAATGCTCCATTTTTTTAAAAAAAAAGATACATCAACATTGGGGAATCACAAACTTGAGGCTGACAAGTTTGCAGAAAACAGGAAAGCAAAGGGAGAACTATGAATAGGAAAGGGGGGAATAAGCAGGCACACTTAAGACCATTTAAATCAATAACGTGAAAGTTCTTTGTCCCATAGAACTTAATGGGAATCACTGAGCACTTGAACCTAAATAGAGTTCAAGAAAGGTGGTGCAATGAGTTTGAAATGTGCGTAACCAGCACGCAGCCTGGCCCCTCGAGGACCATTTCAGTGACATCTTCTAAACATTAGACGTCATTGTAAACCCCAAATGGAGGCTGGAATGAAAACTTAGCTCATGAGCCTGTGGGAACGAGGGCTTATAAAAGTAACAGCACAGCGGCTGTGATTCATGTGCTGTTCTGTGATGACTCAGAGAAGTCGATAGCAGTTAGGAAAACCAGCTGTTACCCGGTCAGAACATTTTACACTGTGACCATTTTGACCCAGTGGCCCTGATTTACACTGTTTTTGTTTGTTAAAGCAATGGCGAGGCTGAAGAGTGAGAGGGAACGCCATGGCAGCGCCCCGAATAACTTACACAAACATTTGTCCTAGTGTCACTTTCCTAATGCTGCTTTGCTTTGAATTGAACACAATCCGATATTTTGCATTTTCAAGAGTTTACTTAAAAATAACTTGGTTCTACATTTCCAGTGAAAAATGCTTAACTCCATATGAGATAGCAACCGTCTTCCTTGAAGGCCTGGCTGCATGTGATTTATTTATTTATTTCATAAAAATTACACACCACTTGATTATAAAAAACCCAAAGTGGTTTTCAAAAATTATATGAAAATGTCAGATGCTGGTGTGGTTGCTCAAGAGCAAATAGGCAAGACTCTGACCTGTCTTTTCCAGGCTTTATTCTTAGTGCAAGCTATTTACAGTGAAGAGTGTCATAAGTTCATGTCTGGCTCAATCGCTAGCAGAATCTGGGCGTGGTCGGTCTTTGTACCTCCCCCAGCATAACAGTCACGTGACCCCCATCCTTCTCCTCCCCTCCCTGCGCTAAAACCTACTGTGCAGAATGGGTGCTGGCAAAGGGGCACTTCCCTCCTCTCCTGTTTGCTCAGGCTCAGTGTTGAGGCTCTCCCTGGCATTCCCTGCTCCCTGCACCTCCTTTCCACTGGAGGTGGGGCTTTCCTCCTCGCTGGAGGAGGAACTGCTTCACAATATTTTCGGAGGTTCCCTATAACACAACTGCCCTTCCACCTCTCGCCTCTGAGCTGATGGCAGTTCCCTGACAGAAAAATTAAGAACAATAATTTAAAACTTTTAAACAGTCAAAATAGCAATAGATTAGAAACAGATGAAAATGTGCATCGACTTTCTAAGCATCTGGGTAGGCTTATCTTGTCTAAATAAGAAAGTTTTCTAGCAGGCCCTGAAAAGACTACAGTGAAGGCTGCTTCCTAATATTAATGGCTTAAAATGGGACTGATGAAAGCGATCTAGTGGGTGTCTATTGGCTAAGGTGATCTTCTGGGTAAACTAGTCCCAATCTGTGGTTGGCAGCCATCTGTCTTGAGAGATTAAATCAGGACATCCTGTTTTGGGGCTCCATGCTCTCAGCACGGTGCCCAAACATGCATGAGATCGATCTCACATGGAATCAAAGAGCTCAAAAGTGCATGTTTCTGAGTTCCATGCTCTCGCATGGGTCACATGACTCACACGGGAGCATGGCTGGGAAGATGCACATCCCAGTTTTTGGCTTCCAAATATTGGAGAGTGTGATATCTCTGAGCACAGGTGTGATACGCTGTCAAGGGCTCACTCCTGTCAGCAATCGTGCTGCAGCATCCTGCACTAATTGCAGCTTCTGGATCAGGCATGAGGGAAGTCCCACTTAGAGCACATTGCAGTACTGCAGCCTTGAAGTAACCACCACATGAATGACTGTGGCCAGGCTTTCCCGGTCCAGGAATGGCCATGGCTATCAAACCAGACACTGTTGGTTGAAGGCCCTGTAGCCACTGAGCCTCCTGAGCCTCCAGGGACAGAGCTGGATCCAGAAGCCCCCTGCCCTCCAACTGCAACCCTGCTCCTTCAGGGGGAAAGCAACCCCATCCAGGGTAGGCTGCTAACCTACAGTCACCCACCAGGTCTGGGCAGGATTCAAGCTCAGCTTGTTTTCCTCCTCCCTTTCACCACTGACCCAAGAGATGGATCTGGAACTGTATGACCTCCCCTGATTGATGATTAAGGATCTTCATGCTGAGACCCCAACATCCCATCTTCAGACTAGCTCTGTGGCAAAGGGTTAACAGCTGGGAGGCATCGCCAGCTCTAGCTTCACCAAATTCTTCACAAGGAACTGTCTCACCAAAAGAGGAAAGGAACTCAAAGCTGCTGTCCACAGGGCTCCTGGTTGGAAGTTGTTTGGCAAAGTCGCCCCACAAGAAAACCTACAGAAAGACACTAAAGAAATTCATCAGAAGTCTGATTCCTCCACGAGGAAGTGAAAAAAGGAGGAAAGAGCCCACCCCCTGCCAGCCAAGCCCAGCTGAGCAAGTAGCCTCCCCCAGAGCAGGACTGTAAGAACAGCAGAAGCAGCTGGGAAGGAAGAAGAGGAACTGGGAGGGGGGGAATAGTTTTATAAGTTGTGTGTCTTTGTTTCTCAAAAGCCTTTACATGGTTTTGTATATATTGTGGTATTTTATGCATTGTGACTTGCAGTTATTTTTATTTTATTTTTTTAAATGATATTTATTGAGAATTTAAAATTACAGAGAAAAAAAAGGAAAAGGAAAAAAGGTAAACAAAAAGAGAAATTAAACAATACAAGTCAATAAAAACAAAAAACAAAACAAAACACACAATACATCAAAACCAAAAACAAAAATAAACAAAAAATTTAAAAACAAATCCAATATTCCCAAATCTTTATCTTTCGTTAACTTGTTTCATCGACCTCCTCACACCTCCCTTTTTGTATTCTAGTTATTAATTATCTCAGCAAATCCTTTCCATCTTTCACTATATTCTGTCATTAAATTACCTTTATTTATTTTAACCTTATCTTACCATGAAAAGCCCTAAAGCTTAAAACTTAAAACTTATTTATACATAATTCCTTTTAACATTTCTACTAAAGCCAAATAGTTTCATTCCAACATTTTTCTAATACTCATTAATTTTACAATGATTTTCTAAATGAATTTTTAAAACTTTATTCCAATCTTCATCCATCGTCTCTTCTTCCTGGTCTCGGGTTTTATCAGTCCTATCTATCCCTTCCATCTAGTCCATCAACCTGGTGACCTTCTATCTGAGGCTCTTAAGTCTTTTCCATGTCCCTTCTGCATGTCTTCTTCATGTTTATACCTGCACTTTACTTTATCTTCTGCTGATCTTATTCTTAATTTCCTTCCTTTCTCTCGGGGACACTCCAACTTGACAATATCTTTATCCCTTCTCAACAAGTCAGCCCATTCTCCATAGTCAGCACTGAAATCCAAAAGATATTTGAAGGCATGTTTCAAAGTCCCTCCAAGGTTAAGGGCCCCCACAACTCCAAACTCCCCCTGGCCCAAAACCAGATCCGAAAAGTCAAAACATCCCTTCATCTATCCAACTTTCCATCTCCAGACCAAACAGTACTCCATCTCTCCAAATCTGACTTTCTCCAGGTTCAGTCGTCAGAAACAACAACTTATGTTCCTGCAAGGCCGCAGCTCTCTCCATTTCTATTACTTGAGGTTCAGCAACAACCTCCTCCTTTATCTTCTTCACAACTTGCCCTGTCAAAGCACATTCCTGGGTTGGTTCCTGAGTGGTTTCTATATAGGTATTCACTGTTTGTCCAAAATTGCCAACTGCAACAGTCATCAAATCCATCTTCTCATGTAGCTGTTCCAGTAAAGCGCTTGTCTTGCAAAAAGCAAGCACTAAAGCTTCTTCTGGGCACATTCTTGTTCAAGGTCAATGTCTGGTCTCACGACCTTTAATCTCTACAGCTGTAGAATTCCCCCGATCGACTCCAGCAACAGTTTCACAAGCTCCCTCTAGAGGAAACAATTTCTGTTTGTATCCGTCTTTTTAAAAGCAGATCCAGCAACAAAATTCGTTTCGTTTTTCAGATATTTTGTTCCTTTTAAGTGCAAAAGGGAACATTGGAATCAATATGTTTCTCTTTTTTAACTATCTGTCAAAAAACGTTTTATCCAAAGTCAATGAACTTCCCCAAAGCGTCTGTCTCTGACACCCCGCTCCCAGGTTCAAGACGGTGGAAATTTTTTCTTTTTAAGTGTCTTTTTTTTTCTTCTGTATTTTGTATTTTCTTGTATTTTTATTTTTGGTTTTTGTGTAATTCTTGTATTCTCTGAAATTTTAATAAATATCATTTAAAAAAAAAAGATGGTGGAAATGTATCTTTCTTTACTCTCTCTTCTGCAGGTTTAAACAGTCTAAGATTTCCCCCCTCTTCTCCTGCTTCCAAGGGGGGTTTGGTAATTTTAACTGATGGAAATTTAGTCCTTTACAAACGACTTTCCAGACTCTAGTTTGCAATGTCTTTGCTTCAATCTATTTACAAAAGCGGAAGGCGGACTTCCTGTTTAGACCTTCCCGCTTTGGTGCCAAATTAAGAAGTTTCATAGTCCAATTTTCCGTTCTACTCACGGGCAGTTGTTTAAAATCCAATTGTCCACAGGAAAAAGTCAGCGCTCTCCGGCAACAGCAATGCGGCTTCACTCCATGAAAAGAGCAGTTGATTCGAAGCACCGCACCATTCACCCCACGTCGAGTAGGGGAGGTGCAAAAGGTGCCAGCCGAATCCCACGTCCACAGGCTTCTCCCGCCTGTGGTTTTTGGTGGGTCTCCGCCTTGCCGTGGCAGTCCAGACCCTAATTCTCACGAAGCGGATTCCTCCCGATCAGAGGAAATCCGGGATTGCCGGAGGCGCTAACCCGGAAGTCTGCAGTTATTTTTATTGATCATGGTTTAGTAATTATTGTAATTGTTAAGAGTGAATTTCTGTTTAATTATTATTTGCTGGTGGTTTGAGAGTTAATTTTATTGTGCACTATTATATTCTAATAGATTACTGAATATTTCTTTATTTGATATAAGCCATTCCATTTTAAAGATGTTTTAATATGACTTTTTGTATTGGATCAGATTACTATAAGGTGTGTGTTCTTTGTTGCAAATGTTGTTGCTGTAATCCGCCTTGTGTATAGTAATATAGAAACGCAGGTTACAAATTAAAAGTGAAACGAAATGATTCAGATGTTATGCAGAAAGAGAGCTGAGTGTTCTCCAGTGCTGGACTGATGGCACCTTATCCCCAAACTCCTTGATTTTTTAATTCCTTCCTTCCAACTCTATAGTTCTATGATTCTGGGGTTGTGTTATTTTTCTCTGCCCAGTGGTAACAAAATTCCAGGGTAATGATTCTGCTATCACTTGCCTTTGCTCCTGAGGAGGCTGGCTTGACTTTAAACCCTACATATACTGATTTCAGACATTGTGGGGAGAACCTGGTGCCCAGGAGTTTTAGGGGATCGTTGCCCTTGCAAACCCATAACAATATGTAGAAATTGTTGTTTTATTGTTTGTTTTACAAACAATAGCCCTGCCTGTTGCCTCATTGCCCCCTCTTTCTCTCCCTTGACACCTCACCAAACCACCTCCTTTTCCATCTCACCAGCCTCCTCTCTCAGAGCTCGTCATTCCTCTTGCCTGGGCTGGCTCCCTGCCTGGCATCTGGATCTCTCCTCGCTCATGCCGTTCATCTGGTGTGAGGTACCCAGGTCCACTCAGAGCACAGTGCCAAAGAATCAGGGCACAGGATCCAAAGGCCAGCCCTCGAGATGTCCCTCAAAACACATTTAGTTTTGGGATAGAGACGGTTTTATAGAGATAGTAAAACTTCTATCATGATTTTCTTGACTTTACTTGCCTTCTGAGAGAAGTAAGGTGAGAAAAATCTGGGGACTTCAAGTGTAAGGAGAAGGAGGCCCAAACCCAGACAAATGTGTTTGTGGCCAAATAGTAGCAACTCAGAACACTTGCCCACGCCAGTGCTCCACACAGACAGCATCCCACCGAAACTCTGTGCACTCACCTATCTGTGTGCATTGTTGCAGTGAAGCAATCCATAGTCCTGGCCCAGGCAGACTCTGTGCTGCTGTGCTGATATGACACCCATCACAAAGGCTGTTTGTGCCTTCAGCACACTTGCTGTCATGTTTAAAACATCGCTTCTCCAAGGATCAAGCTGGAGTTGCTCTTGTAATTTGTAATAAGAAACCAGATGAATTACACTTCTGTCTTCTGTGTTCTCTGAGTTTGGGCACAATCTCCTTCTTTTGGGGCTTTGAATGCTGTTGTAGATGCCACCAACACCTCAGAAGAACAGGCAAAGTGAGATAAAGCTAAGGCCAATTCTAAGGTGCCTTGGAGTTGGCCTTAGAGCTCACCTGCTAAACTTGCTGCTACAGTTGAAAATATTTAAAGCAAATTAAGGCTTTAAGCTCAAAATTAAGCTCAAAGAGGCTTGAGGCTTTGAAGCTGGATTTAACCTGATGTTTCTGGGCCACACAAAAAAAGTGAAATTGTTACAGGGTTTGGGTCTGTTTGAGTAAAAGGCTGCTTCACACATTTGTGGACTTGATAATTGTGAGGAGCTGTTCACCTCAAAAGTCTGGCAGAGAAGTGCTCTCTTGTGCTCTAGGGCCAAGCAGCAGTTGCTTTTACACTTCAGAATAATAGACCAGCTGCATTATAGAGGTTATTTTCTGTGCTCTCTACTGTCCAGCATGGAGGGTTCCAGCCTCATATAACTCTAAAAAAAGGTAAAGGACCCCTGACAGTTAAGTCCAGTTGCAAACGACTCTGCGGTTGCGGCGCACATCTCGTTTTACTGGCCAAGGGTGTTCATCCGCAGACAGTTTTTCTGGGTCATGTGGCCAGCATGATTAAGCCGCTTCTGGCGAAACCAGGGCAGCGCACGGAAACACAGTTTACCTTCCCATCAGAGCAGTACCTACTGTATTTATCTACTTGCACTTGATGTGCTTTTGAACTGCTAGGTGGGCAGGAGCTGGGACCAAGCCACAGGAGCTCGCCCCACTGCAGGGATTCGAACCGCCGACCTTTTGATTGGCAAGCCCTGGGCTCAGTGGTTTAGACCACAGGTTTGAATTTAATCAGTGTCTCCTGATGTAGATATTGTTCTAGGAGGCTTAGTTTAGTCAGAATCGAATAGACACTTCTGTTTAATACATTACTTCTGGTAAATGAGCCATCATAGCCGCTAGAGGGCTATGAAAATTTGTGTCCTTGGGCTTTTTAGACTCATCTCCCCATGTACTATCTGAAAACAAAGGGGCACATTGGTTCCAGCTCTCCTACCCCACTAATGGGAAAACACATGAATCTGACATTTGAAGAGTTTTGTAAATAAGCCATTTTATGAGCTTAAAAGGAGACATTTTGGGATTTACTGGAAAGGCACACTTTAAAGTATTTATAGTCTATACTTCCACTTTTATTTGATGCATGCTTTATGTGATGTTTGCCCCAAACTTGGGTCTTGGCTTCTAGGATTCCAGCACAACACACACTTACAAAGGAGTGAGTTTCATTGAACTCAGTGAGATCTGCTTCTGAATAAATGTGGTTTGAGGCTTGGCTGGGACCTACTTGAGTGCAGAGAATGCTGAACAGTTAAATGTTCCAAACCTGTTAGTGGATCATAGAATCGTAGAGATGGAAGCGACTCTGAGGCTCACCTAGTCCAACCCACTGCAAAGCAGGAATCATTTTGCCCAACGTGGGGTTTGAACCTATGGCTCTCAGATTAAGAGCCTCACGCTCTACTGACTGAGCTATCACAGTGGGATGTTCAGGCCCAGAAAACTGTTATTCTCCAATAACAAGAATTTTCGACCTTGATTTGATCATCAAAAGAGAGAGGGATCAGGTATTGAAAAACAAGCTGTTTGTAAGCCTTCGGCATCTGCTTTCATCTTGAACAACATCCCTCCACATTCCTATCTTGACCTTTTGCTTCCTCCCACTTTTCATTACACATTAATGAAATGGATTTGCTAAATGTAGAAACTGTGCACAACCAGCTCGCTTGCTAGCACTAATATTTCTACAGTCTGTTGGGCAGATGCCCCTGCTACATTTTGACTGCTCTAAGTGATATGTTGGTTTTGACTTCCATAGCCCAACCTTTCGCTTACTCCTTCAATATGTACTATAGGATGATACAGGTTTTAAGAGTTCCCTTTTCAGTTTATATTCTGCCTTTTCACCCTTATCAGGGCTCTCTCAATATAGTCTCAAATACACATGAAACACACTATATAAGATATAATATAATGCAGCACAGTATATTGAGGTGGCCTACCTTGTTTCACCACCTGAGACAACATGGGAAGCTGCCCCCCATCCTCCCCCCCATCCCGCCAAAGCCTTGCTTACCAGGGTGGGTCATGTGACTTTCAAGCTCCAGCAAGATCTCATCATTGCTGAGTGAGATCTTGCAGGAACCTGTAAGCCACTACCGCTCTTTCTCGCTTTTCCACCCCTTGGACTCCACTGCCCAAGATGGCTGCCTCAATCCGCCTTAAGGACGGCCCGGCCCTACAGTACATATAATTAAACAATAATGACAACAGCAGCAAATCCTCCAACATTTCTCCAATGAAAATAGGGATATCCCATTTCATAATTTTACTATTTATACTCTGGGTGACCTCCAATATATATACAGTGGGTTAAGAACCTAGGGTTAAGAACTTAATTCGTTCTGGAGGTCCGTTCTTAACCTGAAACTGTTCTTAACCTGAGGTACCACTTTAGCTAACGGGGCAGCACAATTTCTGTTCTCATTCTGAAGCAAAGTTCTTAACCTGAGGTACTATTTCTGGGTCAGTGGAGTCTGTAACCTGAAGCATCTGTAAATGAAGCGTCTGTAACCTGAGGTACCACTGTAAAAACATAATAAAACATTCAACATTCAAAAAACTTTCTTATACAGGAGTGTATTCAGACAATTCAGGGGTTGGATAACTCCATATCCTCCAACATTTCTCCAATGAAAATAGGGACGTCCTAAGGAAAAGCGTGACATTCTGGGATCAAATGAAAAACAACAACCGGGACAGCTTCTCTAAATCAGGAATGTCCCTGGAAAATAGGGACACTTGGAGGGTCTGCAGCAGCCACTATCAAAACAGGAAATACACCACAAACATGCTTTAACAATCTTCAGATGTGTAGAATGACTTTTTTTTTTACTGCCCTATGACTTGACAAATAGCTGAAAGGAGCCATCCTGGTCAGTCTCCTTAGGAGATGGAGTTCCATAGACAGGATCTAAAAACTGGCCCAGTCCTCCTTCTTGCTGCCTGCCAGTCCAGGGGAAGGGCCACAGCTCACTGGTGGAGCACATCCTTGGCTCAAGGCTTCATCCCCATCAGCTACAGAGAGGACTGGAGAAAACCCCGAAGAGTCACTTCCAGGCAGTGCAGACAACACCAAGCGAGATGGACCGATGATCTGTCTCAGCAGAAAGCAGCTTCCTAAGTTCATTACACAGAATGAAAGCTTGTGATCTGCCTACCTTGAAGCAGCTCACCTGCCATATATTGCCACTTTTCAGCTTCCCTGGTTTTTCCAGGTCGGCTCAGAGTAAGACCTCCCTCATCCATGCCCTGATTGTGGATAAAGAGCCTGATCTGGCCTGCATCACTGAGACCTGGGTGGGTGAGCAGGGTGGAGTTGTGCCCACCTGGGTCCTCGGTGCAGCATCAAGCCAGACTTGAGGGTTGGGGAGAGGAGCTGCTGTCATATAGAGATTCCATCTTGTGGGAGATTGCAGTCAAATACAACTAGCAAGCAGAAGGGGTAAAGGAACATAGAGTTGTGTTGCTAGATAGACTCAGCTAGGTCATGCCCTCTCTCCTCTGGAGCAGGGGTGCTGGGTATATGGGGTGCAAGGGGTGCTAGCCCCCCATATTTCAGGGCAAGGGGTTGTGCACCCCATATTGAGGGGGCCGCCACCCCTGCTGCCACCAGACGCCCTCCATGTGCCCCAGCTCCAGTCTCTGCTCAGCAGCCGGAGCTGGGCGGGATCTGCAAAGAGCGAGAGGAATCTTTGCTCATCCCAGCCTCTGCCTGGGAGCGTAGGAGCCCAGGAGCTGGGCAGGGGCTGGAAGGAGCAGGCGTGTCATGTGGTCACACCCCCTCAATGTGGGGGGCAAGTCAGCACCCCTGCTCTGGAGAGGGAGGAAGTGAAGCCTTTCCCCTTCCTTCCTTCCCTCCTTCTGGCATCATGTAATCCTTCAAGGTGAACCTGTGTAACCTTGCTCCCTAGCTTAGAGCACATGTCTTAGAGCATGAGAGGTCTGTGGGGCAGCAACAGGAGAGTGGGTCTTTTCTGCAGGGGCTCCCTGTTTGCTGATCAGGCATAGTTACAATGATTGCACACACCCCTCATCTTTGCTGAGGGGGGCACAGAATTGCAAATGGTTCCAGGCACTCACCCAGGGTTGTGTCTCCATTGAGAAGTGGAGGATGTAGTGTATTTACCATATATGGTTTAATTGCACATATTTGCACCTGAGTTTAGATAAAGGGGGTGCAGATCTCATTGCATTGACATCTAAAAAGCAGATTATTCTCCACAGCAGCCCATCTTTGCAGACAAAGCCACCCTAAGCCCCATCCCTTCTGCTGCCCTCCAGCCCCTGTCTGGTGTTCTCCCCAACTCGTCCTCCTTCCTCCCAGAACCAAATGCCGCTCCTCCCCATGGGCCTCAGTCATTCTAAGCCTGGTGCAAAATGCACCATTTTCCTGTGGCATCACACCTGTAACCTTGACAACTTTCCCATCATCTTCCAAACTTCCCAGCCAGTTGTACACAACCGTAGTTCTGCTGATGGTTTCTCTCCCTGTCTCTCATTAGGTTCATTGCTTCCTGCTGGTCCTTCTGCCCAGTGGCTTCCTGGTCCCAGACAACCGCTCTCACCAATATTGTAGCACATTGCTAGTTCTGTCCTCTGCAATGCAGGAATCTCAACTAGATCATAAATGACAGGTGATCGGCAAAGATCTTCCTGTCAAAACTGGCACATGGCTCTACCGTTGTGATGCTCTCTCTCCACTTCCTCACATTTTAGCAATAACCAGCCCAGTTCCTTTGAGAGTCGTAACTGTAATGAGGACAAAAGTAGACAAATCATCCCTCCTGGGCACCCTCGGTTTAGGAGGACATCCATTTAGATTTGACTCCATCTTTAAAAGTTGTTTTGTGGACCTTCTTTAGCCTCCCACTCCCATCTGCTGAGTGGGTGTCCCTGCGATCTCCGCCGTTCATGTCCTGTCCCATCCGAGAGACATTGCTTTCACCTTCTACAATCTGGAGCTGAGAGGTTTTACTGAGATGGTGCGACAAAGATAACTGCCAAAAGTGACTATAGTGAGGTCCCTCTTATTCCTTCCTTTGCCAATATCTTTCCTCGCACGAACATTTACTTTATAGGTTATCACTTTCTGAGCCCATGGCGATCTGTGTGAGATTCTTTTGAAAGACAGAGGGTGACCAACTCTAGGTCAGGATGTTATTTCTACTGATCTAGAAGATGTCATTGCAACCCTGCTAGAGGCCCTGGGAGTCCATTCCCTGGAGCACCCGGTTACTCTGGTATTTCTATGGATGCCACTGCTGTTGATTTTTTATTTTTTAATGTGAATGGTCTGTGCAACCAATCCTGCTCTCACACTTTGCTGTCTTGAGAGTCAAGATCCAGGTCTTTCTCTCTCTTTGGCTGCCTGCCATTTGACTGGGCCTGTTCCAAGCGCTCAGTGACAGTGATCCCTTTCTCCCTCCTGCCACCTGCCAGCTGTTTGCTGCAGCTGCTCATTTCCCCTCAAATGATGCTCCCTCTCCACCGCTCTTGGCATCTCAGGGCTCCCTGTTCCATTTCCATAGGAATAGAAGAATTGCCTCCTGGATCAGGCCAATGGCCCACCTGGTCCAGCATCCTCTACTCACAGTGGCCAACCAGGTGCTTGTGGAAACCAGCAAACAAAACATGAGTACAAGAGCAGCACTCCCCTCCCAGGCTTTCCAGCAACTGGTGTTCAGCTGTGATGGCAGAACAGAGCCATCTTGGCTAGGAGCCAGTGATCGCCCTCCCCTCCACAAATTTGTCTAGTCTTCTTCTAAAGCCATCCAAGTTGGTGGCCATTGCTGTCTCCTGCGGGAGGGAGTTCCACAGTTTAACTCTGCACAATGTGGAGAACTTCACACCCTCCAACATTTCTCAGATGAAAATAGGAACATTTCTCACTCCCCCCAAATGACCCTCCTCGAACCCCTTTTTGCCCCTCCCCCATAGAGCATCTCCTATCAGAAGGGGGTGAGTACCCCACCACCACACCAACAGGACCCAGCACACACGCCCTCCACCATCCTGAGGAAACCCCTTAATCCCAATTTTATTTTATTCTTTGGTGGATTTACAAAAAGAAAAACACGCACCCAGTAAATAAATGTTAGAAAGGGGCAAGATTAGATGTGGATACACAGAGCTCCCCCTTTCTTCCTACCCAGGGCGGCCATATGCTCCCCACTCCGCTGCCCTTACTACTGGGCAATTGCATCTTATGCACCATTCAGCCAAATGTGGTTGAAGGCTGCTGATTGAAATCCTGCATGATAAATGCAAGCAAAGCACCTCAGCAACACAACCCAGATTTATGGAAGTCTATCTGTCTAGTGGTCATTCCCATTCACCGACACACAATGGTTCCCTCCTTTTAGCCCATTGAGTGAAACCCAATTAATGTGTGGGGGTAGGCCAAGGTTTTGAAAATG